TCACAGTGGTTTATTTGTACCTTCAGTTTAGAACAGCTGAACTTAAGCAAGCTGAGCGTCTCAGCTCCTGCAGCAGAGTGGAACAGCCCAGCTAAAGCCAGCTCAAAACTGACTGGGCAGTTTTTGTGTTTCCTCAGTGACTGTCTCCATGTGGTGGAGCCTATGCCTGTCCCTGGACCTGATGTAGAAGCTTATTGTTTACGTTGTGAGTGCAAGTATGAGGAGAGAAGCTCAGTCACAATTAAGGTAAGCAGTCTAATTCTGTTGGCATATATTAAAGACTTCAGCTGTTTAGTAAATATGTCTATTGTCTTTTAGAGAAATGCTGTTTTTAAAAAGAAAACTGTTCTAAGGTAGCCTAAAATGAACCTTTTCTTTGGTAGCAGTTGTTCACAATCTTGAGCAGTAGCAATAGCATCAAACTTTAGCTGAAGAAGTGAACCCGAGACCCTTTATTGAAGATCTCCACTTTAGAGATCAGACTTTACACATTGCTAAAATTCTGAGTGTTCTAAGATATTTTGTCAAGCTTTGGGCTTTGTTTTCCTTATTATTTCAGAGGGCCTCTCGTTACACAGCTGCCTTACTTTGTTGCTGTAAATTTTCTTTATCCGTCTGTTCTAACAGTTGTTTTCTGTGCTCTTCACATTCTTGTTTCATTGGAACCATTAATGCCTGGACTGCTGTTGAATAGACTGCAGTATGTCTTTTGGTTTTTGACACCACAAACTACTGTATTTTGGGATTTTAGAAGTTTGGTGTATTGTTTTATTTTCTTGATGACTAAATGCAGGTCGGTGCTGGACAATGGGAGATCACTGGGTGATGCCCCTGATTTGTCACCTGTTTAATGGCCAGGCTGAACGGTTGGTGGAAGTGAGAGTTATAACACTGAATTGTTTTAAGAGGCATAGCCTAAGACTCTTTGCAAGGTCTCACTGTTTCAAGCTGCCTTAAACCCTTTTAATACCATGTTGTAGTTTGTTAGTTTTCCTTTCTTTCTGGGTTTTAAGTCGTCTGGTGACTCTACCAAAGATCAAACTTTGCCTGTACTCATCTTTTGGTCCTTGCTGCCTGTTGTGAGACTGGGGGGGGGGGATGTTACAATCTTGGCATAAACTGTGCTTGTATTATGTAGGTGACAATCATCATATACCTGTCCATTTTGGGTCTGCTTCTTCTGTACATGGTGTACCTTACCCTGGTGGAGCCCATCCTGAAGAGGCGTCTCCTTGGACATTCACAGCTCATACAAAGTGATGAAGACATTGGGGTGAGTTCACCAGAGTCTTTGTGTCCTTGGTTAGCGTGAAGATTGGGGTGGTTGGTTGATAAGTAATTATTTGGGGCGAGCAGCTTTTTTTTTTGCCAGACAGTAAATGCTTTTCCTGATAGGAGAGGAAAACAAAGGTGTGTAATGACTTCTGTGAAGCCACTCTTTCATTTTTCACTGGGCTGGAAAGTAGTAAGATGAGAACTGCTTCAGTTATACTAGCTCAAGGCACAGATTGTTTTCACAGAGAAGAAACAGGCCAGGAATAGAACTAAGAATATGCAGGAGTCCAGTCTTGCTGGTGATCATTGTCATGGAAAGTCCTTACTGCTTAGATTGCTCTCTACAAAAAGAAACTATGGAGGTTGCATCTTCTAATGTTCCAGTTTGAGTTTCTTGATGCTAAAACTTCAAGAAGAAATTGCTATAATGAAGCAGAATAGTAATGGATGCTGAAATAATTTATTGGTATAACAGCCAGAAATCAAAATGTGGCAGTATATTCCAGAAGGTCAGAAGAGCTTTTTGGGGGGCAAGAAAGGGAGTAGTGACACGATTTCCTGTCATTACTGGCCTTTCCAGTGTCTAGCACATAGATTTTTTTTATGAAATCAAGGTACACAAAGCATAGCTGATAAAAACTATTATCTAGGAAAAAGCTTAATTTTGAATGCTAATTATCCCCTTAGCAAGCAGAAACACCTTTTTAAGTGAAGATGGCTGATGATTATCCCACTGTTTCTGAACTTCCCTGTGTATTACATGTAGACATGTTTCAACTGTCTTTGTATTGCAATGCAAGATTTTCCCAGTCACCTCTTGGAGGATTTTGGGTTGAGGGTTTGTTGTTTTATATATTTTTTTTTCAACTGAAGTATTTGAATGATTCTTCCTCTGTGTGCATTCTTATAGCAAATTGGGCAGCTCCTACTTGAATTAAGTGAGCTTGTGCTGTATGCTGTATCTCAGACAAATATATAGCTTAGATAAATTATCTTAATGCCTCCAAATATGAGATAGGCTTTTGGTTGTAGGTGCAAGGAAGAAGTCCATTAAGTTCCATGGCAGAGTTTGGATTAACTGCAGAATGAATTTACCTCAAAGTCTGGATCCATCTTAACCAATGTTATGTTTTGCTGTAGCTATTCTGTGAACATAACATCATTTAAGATCCCTTATGAGTTATCCCCATTCGTGCCTTCCCTCTTGCAAATTTTTGAGACATTCTTGTCACACTTCAAAAATACCATGGATTTTGTGGCTGAATTTCAAGGCAGTGTGTTCACTCTTTCTTGTTGCCCATTGGTGACAGTGGCAACTGATGAATGAAAGCCACTTCCTTAGTCCTCTTTCTTAAATTCTTCTTTCCCTTTACTGTCTACATAGAAATTGAGAGTATCTGACGTTGGAGTAGAGCATTTTGTTAGTCAGGAAGGCCAGTCCCATCTAGACTGTCCTGTCTCCCACCATGTGTTTTACAGTAGCAAACCATGTGTTGCTATTATGATTTTTTCCCCCCTGTGAATGACCTGTCTCCTGTTAAATGCCCATTCTAGGTATATCCAGGTGTATAACTTCTTATGGTGAGATGATAGCTCTTTGGATCAGGGATTTTCTCTTGTTCTCTATGAGCATATTTTTTTTAATTCTCATAGTGGCTTTGGAACTCAGAGCAATCATTTCAATAGGTGTCATTAATGATAATCTATGTACAGCTGACAGTTGTCATTGAGCTGCTCTGCACAAGTAGCTTTAGCAGCCTGACTCTGTCCAAACACTTTAATAGCCATATAAGAAGTTCAGTTCCAACTCTCACTGTTTATAACTTGGCTATATTTGCTAGCAGAAAATAAAGCCTTGCAGGTACTGTTAGAAAACAGAGTTAAAGTTAAACAAGCACTCGGTTCTTGTTGAGCTCTGTCACTTAAACAGCTGTATTGACACTGTGCTTTCAGACAGCTCTGCACAATAGGCTTAGTTTGGTAAACATCAGAGTGTGTTGGTTTGATATAGAAGCTGTGTGAACATCCTGAAGTGCCTGGCAGGAAATGGCCAGGAGCTGGCAGGGAACTGAGCCTAATTCAGTTGTGAAGCGCATTCATCAGAGTGAAGGGGGTGCCTGGGTCTGCTCTGGGCTGCAAATGGATGCAAGACTGTGGGTCTGATCCTGCAGCTCTCCGTGGTGTCTCTCATGGCAGCGGGTAATCGACAGTTCAATGAAGTGTGGTCTGTTTGGGAAATCTCTGGAAGTTCCTGTGAATGAGAAATTGAAGTACAGTTCCAACAGTTCAAAAACTTGCTTGGTCATTGTTCCTGACCAGCTTGTTGGAACATCTCATTTACCCTAAAAAAAAAGGTAACCAAAACCAAGCCAACCCCCACATCCTGTGGAATGCAACAACACAAAAGACTTGCAGCTGGAACTTCTGAGGAGTAACCGTGGATTTTTGCCATTCCAGGACCACCAGCCTTTCGCTAACGCCCACGACGTGCTGGCCCGTTCGCGGAGCCGCGCCAACGTGCTGAACAAAGTGGAATACGCCCAGCAGCGCTGGAAGCTCCAGGTGCAGGAGCAGCGCAAGTCTGTCTTCGACCGACACGTTGTGCTCAGCTAAGTGGGGCTCAGGGAAGGAACTCCAGGCGTGTGGACTGGTGGAAAGAGCTGACAGAAGTCTTCCTGATCCTGCCAATTCAGAAGAGCTTTCTTGAACGATTTGTTATTGATTTAAAAAAAGCAAATTATAAAAGTATTTGAACTTTGAAGGAATGTACTAGAGTGGAAACAGTTTAAACAGATTAGTTAACCAAAAGCTTAAATCTTTGAGTTTTCAAATGGCTTTTACTAACAAAACTGAAAAGAAAACTAACCCTAAGATACGTTGGGTTGCCACTGTGGTACATTATTTACAGTTGTGACTTTATGGTGGTTTTTAACTATATATTTCTCTCTACTATTTATGTGGTTAAAAAGTACCTGGGAACACCGTAATTACTTACAACTCACTAATCACTTTATGTAAAGATCTTTTGTAAATATACTTGGATTTTCTGCTGATTGATGCTAGGTATTGGAAATGGAAGTCTTGCAGTGTAGTTTTGGTCTCAGAGAATGAAACCCTGCTGGCTGTGATCATCATTTGGTTTCTTGCACTCGTACTTTCAAGATGCTTGTATGACAAGTGATGTCTGCAGATTTAAGGCAAAACATAAGTGGACACTGACTCCTGGAGCTGCATATTTCAAGTACTGTGATGTAGATAAATTCAAATGCAGTGCACATTCAAGACAGTGTTGACATTTTGTTCTATTTTGCTTTAATAGCTTAATATATTGTAGGTGTATGATAGCTCTTATAAAATCTTTCCCTTTCTTTTCATGGGTAAAGTCTCAGGAGTTAGTATATGATGAAATATTTATTATAAAAATCTTTCTGCATTTGTCTGGATTGATGGTGTAAGGCACATACTTTCTCTAGCACCTGTCATCTTGGGAGTTAGGTGTATTTTTTTATCTGTGACTCTGTACTCATCTCTCTGCAGAGGTTATACAGTTGCTAGATGACTAACTTTCATATATCCCCTTTGGAATGTAACAATTAAAGATAAAACTGATTTTTGAAAAATGGATCTGCATTATCAGTTTGTCATCATTTTTCTCCCTCATTATGCTGCATGTAAATTCCATCTATGAAAGTACTTATCTGAAAACATTTCAGAGCAGAAATATGCACTTGTTCAGTGATTAGGTAAAGAAAGGCTCATCAAATTGTTAATTGAAAGAAGTTTTCAATCCCTGACTCAGATGTAGCTGTGCATATGTAGCTGCATTATTGTGTGATAGTTTTCAGTTCCTCCTTCTGGTGTGGAAGGAGGTGGTAGAGGTGGTACATGGAAGAATACTCTGTTTCAGGGGACAGTATTGGCTTGCCAAGTTCATGCCTGGAGGACAGACAAATACAGAGCTTCATTTTCATGTCAATCCTGTAGACTTGCAAAACTGAGCTAACCCAGAGTGATTTAAAGTAGGTGGTGAATTGGTGGATTCATAGAATTCTTGTTTTAAATTAAAAAAAAAAAAAAAAGAAAATAAAATTGGATTGACAGGTCAAGAAAAATAAATTCAGGCTTGGGTTCAGTTTTTGTGTTCAACATCACCCCAATGAATGGGAAGTTGTTCAGCTGGAGGTGTTTGGTTACTGGTTGTGACACTGACGTACTTAGGGTCCACTAAAGAAAAAGAATGCAGCCTGCTTGTGAAATACATGCCTTGATTGTTGAATCACCTGTTGAATCCCTGTCTACCAGTCCTGGGAGTTGTTCTGTGTTGTGGCTGCCTTCCTTGTGAGGCCTGAGGCTGGTGTGGTAAGGGGGATGTTGGATACAGCACTGTGGCCCCACACAGGGGCAGCAGAAAGTGAAGCTTCCTTTCCTGGATGGATGACAGTCACAAGAAGCAGGACTGAATGTATGTACATCTTTCACAAGAAAAAGTATTTCTGATCTTACAGTGTCTTAGAGTTTTAAGCTAAACTGTTTAGGTTTGGATTCTTTTGGATTTGGTTATACTTTGATTGGTAGAAGGGCCAAACCATGAGATAGTCTTAAGTGTCAATCTTATAAAATGTGGGAATTTTGAAGATAGGTGTCCTATTTTCTTGCACCTGTACAAATGGACAGCTTGCATATACTGATGCAGCTTACATATACTGATGTATGCAGCATCTACGTACATGTATACATTGCATTATAGACTCCATATTGTTTATCTTTTTAAGCAAAACTTGTGTTGCTACTGTTGGCTCACTGTTTTCAAATCTTCTCATATATATATTCACCTTTTATATGATGTTACACTCAACACTAAAAGAATTTCCCTAAATTACAGATATAATGATTAAAGGCATTAAGCTGACTAATAATATATGCCCGCACCTGTAGTGGAGAGAAATCCATCACAAATTTCTAAATAAATGCTGGTTTTCTGTGTTTAAAATGAAGCTGTGGAAATTAGTTTGTTTGGAAATTAACCTTGATGGAGAATATTTACCTAAATTCCAGCTGATTGTTATATGTAGACATTAGAGTACAAAATACCAATAAATGAAAATACTGCTTTGTATTTTCATTACTGTACTGTAGTCTGCAACAGAAGGCAAACAGGAAGTGAACAAACCACATTCCTGATTACTTTTTCAGGTAATCTGGATGTGTTCAATAGCAGTTTCAAAATTTCTAGCCCTTAATGCCAAGTTTTGTTGCCATCATAGCTGTGGTGTGGGTGGAAAAGCCCAACCAGAAAAGAGCAGATCTAACTGTAAGCTACTTTGCATGTTGTCAATTGACTATAAATTGCAGCAGTCATTGACTCAGTGGAACAAGCTACATAATTCAGGTAAGAGACTTGCATGTTGCTGTATCTAGCCACAGATCTTCACTGAATATCAGTGTTGTAAATCACTTCTACCAGCTATTTACTAACATGTTTTCATAGCTTTTTAATGAATCCTGTTTATTGTGATCTCATATTTAATAAGGTGTAAGAAAAATAGAACATTAACTTCTTTTTTTTTTTTCTTTTTAATATCATTCAGATATTTTCAGGTGTTCATCACTCTTAAGACTGCACATCTTGTTTCCTTGGATTTTACTTTGATCTGGAGATTGGTGAGTCTCTAGTCTAACAGGAAAATGTTCCTAACACTTGCATTTTGCACTTTGTGCAGGTGTTGAGGCAGCAGGTAACTGTTTTATATAACATAAAACAGCTGAAGTGTCAGTACACAGCAACAAATACTGCAAGTATCTCTTCTTGGGGGATTTTGGTTTCTTGCTCTGGGGTGATGCCATCATTTTTTGCTATGTAGCAGACTTTTCTTCCTCAGTGTTTTTAAGTTGTTAGCAGCTGAAAGTTTTTAGGCAACAGCCAACCTGTATATGTAGAAAAGGGAAAGCTGACTGCTATTTTCATTTTATGAGGAGTATTATGAGATTATGAGAGTATGAGGAGTATTTATGAGAGATATTCACCTCTGAATTTTTTGCATGCATATTAGTATGAAATGGATGTGTGTTCATGCTTTTAGCCTACCTACAGAAGTACCTGTTTAAGATGCATGGGACTCCCACTCATGCCTAACAGCTATAAATGAATTCTTTATATAAATGAATTAATAGGATTTCTGTTGTGCAATCTACGTGCATTAGAAAAAGAGACAACTCTGCATACAGAGGCATTTTCATAGAATATGTTGTGAGAACGAGTCCACACCACGTAAATATTCTCTGTATAAATGTGGTAGGTATGAAATCATTAGAAAACATTCCATTATCCCCATATCCTCGTGAAGGATTTATGCTATGGAACTCTGATTGGAACATTTGAAGCTTTGCCAGATTTCTGCGTGTGGAATCCAGCAGTTTCTAGTAGCCTAACCTAAATGTTCAGGTGTGGTTTCCGTTTTAGAGGATGCAGTAGAGCCTAAGTGCTTTAGACAGCAATGGATGGATGTACAAGTGGATGGTGAGTAAGAGCATTTTTGAATTGATTCTGTGCAGGCAAGTATTGATTCCAGTCTGTGAGGGTGGCTCACAGTGATTCTTTAAAAATTAACTGGTTATTTCAAATGTATTTAAAGCAGCTGTTAGGTAACAATCATTACATTCTCAGCATTTAGGCTGATGTGTAGCTGTTTGAATAATGATATTGGGAAGGCACTATAATGCAGTTTCTTATAAAACACTGCAAGGGTATCTGTAATAAACTTGCCAGGGTGATTTGAGTGGTTACACTTGCAGTAATGCTGCTCTGAGGGTATGAAGATAGGCCAGTCTGACTTGCAACTTTCAGCAGGGCCCCAAGAACTGTGTGCCATCCCTTCTTTGTATTACTAGAACATGTGTTTTTCCTTTAATGAATTGTTTATTTCATAACCCTCTAGCAGTAGGATTGTTTTTAGTATTTCATGTCTGTGATTAATCTGCAGGTAAGTGGAGAAGGAATGTGAGGACCCAAGGAGATGTTAGATTTAGTGGAAATTGTCTCGTCTCTCTAAACTTCTTGTAAGTCTTTGTATGAGTGGACATAATACCTGACAGAGGTGGAATTGAGATCCATTCTCTGCATAAGTTTTCATTTTTGTTGAGATGATATATTGAATGTGACATCAAGTGAATAGAGAGAAAAATTGTCTTTGAAGGCTCTCTGGTAGGAATAGGGAGTCTTTTACTGGAATTGTAGATTTTATTTTTTTCAGGGAGGGGAAGGGGTAGGGAGAATGCCTCAGATGTTGGACTGATTTATTTCTTGTCTTTACACATGTAAGTTTTGGTGGATTTGGAACAATCTTGATGAACTAGATCTATGTGGAATACATATAGGTAGAGTCTCTTAATTTCTAAAGCTGAGGTGAAGGGAGAGTGCTTGCTCTTTCCTTTAGGAAACTTTAGTGGCTTTATTAATATCTCTTGTGTACTGATTTAATCAGTGTGACTGACTTGCACTTTCTTGTCCTAATCAAATGAGATGTTGTCTTCCAACATCATTCTGAAATGTCACAAATGCATTTAAAAGATGTCTTCTGGAAAATGTCAGCAAGGCCAAGTGTTGATAAGTTCAGGTGAGTTTTTTTAATACTGTTCAGTGTGAGTTGTTTAAAGTATTCTGTAATTATGTTTTTCCAGGCTAAATGCAGAACCTGATGGATAGCAAAAGCTACTGTAACCTCATCTGTGCTGAGACTCAGCACATACAGCTGGCAAGGCCTTTCTGTGCAGACCCCCTGGTCACGTTTCACATGTACCCAGAAGCACCAAACCAGGTCCCTTTGTCCGAAGAGTTGTCATTCCTTCCTTTCATGTCGGAGCATCTCATCACGGAGACCTTCTACAGTGAGCCCTGCCCCTTTCCCTACCAAATGCCCCATTCCAGTCTCCACAAAAGTGAGTTCTCCTATGGGTCAGCTTTCATCAGGAAGAGGAATGAGAGGGAAAGGCAGCGTGTTAAGTGTGTCAATGAAGGCTATGCCAAGCTGAGGCACCACCTGCCCAAGGAATACTTGGAGAAGCGGCTCAGCAAAGTGGAGACGCTCCGCGCTGCTATAAAATACATCAGGTACCTACAGTCTGTGCTGTGCACTGACTCTGTGGTGGCAGGAAAAGGTGTCACGGAGCCAAACCAAGCACCTAAAGCCACTAACAAACAAACCCAGTTTTTGAAGACGATCTAAAGTGTTCCAGAGGCAGCCAAAGGTATCCTGTCTGGGAATGTAGTAGCCACTGTGTTAATGACGTGTGTGTTCCTGGCACTTCTTCGGAGCAGATCGTGGCACACGTCACTGTCAGCCCACACCAGAGCTGTAACGTTGCAGATAGTAACTACACTTAGGTATGAGAAAGGCAGCTGGGGAAATCTCAGTTGAATGACCTAAGTTAATTCATGAAAATCAGAATGCATTTCTAAATTTGTCACCAAGCTAAAAATGTAACGCCTATATGTGTGAAGTAACTGTATGTATCATCCCGACCTGCATGCTTTAAAATAAAATCTTTCTACTTACGGGACTGAGATTCTTCTCATTTTCTATAATGTTATTGGTTTGCTCTCACATGCACTTTCTTAAAATATTCCATTTAATTGCCAGTGTTCCTTTAAAAATACCTTTTTAAAGCTTCCAAGGAGCGTTGTTAGATGCCAAAAGGAAGGATAATTTAGTTTAAAATGGAGAAAAATAGAGTAGGGTAGGAGCTCTGAAGCATAGTTACTGAACATAGAAAGACCATAAAGTTTTGAAAGCTCTCTTCCATAATTTTCTTATTAGTGAATATTTTAAGCACATTAAAAACTTTTGACATTGCATAATTTCTCTTGAAAATTGGATTCTTATACAAATATCACTGCCCTTAAAAATTGCTAGGACTGCTTACATAATACACAGTGTAAAGAGGGCTGGCTAGGTTTTGGCCATTCTTGGCATAAAAATAATTCCGCAATAGAAAGTTTTTGTGACTTTGACTGATAATGGCTGAGGTCTGGAGTGGTCTTGCCCAACCTCCCAGTCTGTTCTCTGTAATGCTGGTGGTTTCATTTAAGTGTTATAAGATTGCACTGTGTGAAGATGATGAAGAGAGTTTAGCTCATAACCGGTAAAGTGTCTGAACGTTTATTTTCTGTAAGGGAGTCACTGATACTAAATAATTCTGCTGACAGCATGAGGGCTTGTGGGCTGGCTGTGCTGCAGAATGTACAAAAAAATGGTTACAGACTAGGGAGAAGCGGTGTATTCTTCTCCCTAACTGCAGTCATCCCTTCATCTGTTACATTGTTTTTATAGCAGTGAATTGAAACATGCCTTAAAAAAGGCAATTAAGTGTTCCAAGCACCTCCTCCCTCCCCAAAAATCACAAACAAATCCAACCAAGAAAAACATCAACAAATGTCAACTCTGTCTTTCTTTTAAAGAGGATGTGAAAATTAGGGATCTCAGCAGAGATTAACAGTAGATTTCTGCATTATACTACAGCATATTTTTGATAGGCACTTTGTAAGAAAGGGATAGAATTCATTAATCCTTCCCCCTTACCGTGAAAGGAGAAAGTTGTAAAGTGATTTGACCTTGGTTTGTCTCAGCTTCAACCTTTCTGTGCACATTTCAAACCTATTTATTTGTCACACCCTGTGGTGGTAAGCTTTTTAAAATTTTCCTTAATCTGAACTGTAACTGGTGCTGTTTTTTGCCCTGCAATTAAAGGCAGAAGCCTAGAGGACACTGAGCTCTCTTAAAATGCCTTTCCTGCCCCTGCAGTCCTGCAGTGCAGTAGATCCATGGGGAGTGGAAAATTGAGCAAATGTGTGGCATTCAAAGTCAGGTTCTGCTGGGTTTTAACCAGTGAGGTCAGGATGTCCAGTCCTGGGAGAAACAGCTCTGGCAGCCTCCATAGCAACTGGGAAACACTGGCAGCAAAGGGCTCCCTGTGTCCAACAGGCAAAAGGATGAGATTTCTGCATTCAGACTGAATCCAATTGGACTGGGTGTATTGTTACCAATAGCTGGTAAGTCTAAAATACTGCTGTGCCAATGTACTTGGAAATTGTCCAAGAAAAGCAGCATAATTGCCTTTATCAATGCACTGTTTTTTGTAAAAACAGGGGTCCTTACTCTGTGCTGATGTGCTTTAATGTAGAAGTGATAGTTGCCTTTCTTTGCAAAGTATTACTGATTCCATCTTGTTTTGGTTTATAACAGGAGTTTATGCAGTTGTGAAATAAGTGGATATATTGTGCTGATTTTCTGACTTAAATATGAATTTTGCAGCTGTTAATCCACTCTTCTTACTGGGTTTGCTGTGCTGGTTTTCTGAAGTTATGTATCTGTCTGGGAGTCTCCATAAAAAAAGACCTCCAGATCATATTTCTTAGATAAGAGACAAAATATCATCTAAACATGAGTGCTTAAACTGCATTTTGTAAAATAAATTAAGCACTTAAATTTTATAGGTTGTTGAATTTCCATGCAAATTTTTTTCTGAGTGTTTCTAAGCAATATTTAAAAAGAAAAAAATTAATGGAAGCTTGCCTACTACATCTTTTGAAATTACCAGAGATAGCATCATATCATTGATCTTACTGTGACAGCCTCTGAATAGTTATCACTTGTCACATCTGAGCATCTCATTCTTTCTCATTGCAAGCCATAATCCTACTGTTAATAAAACATGACAGGACAGCTGAAAGATCAAAATATTTCCTCTTAATACATCACTATAAATAAATAACAGGGAAATATAATCTAACATCAAGTTCAAAACCTGTCACATTTACTCAGCTTGTCAACTTCAGCTCTAATTTCTGTCTCAACTTGTAAAATAGGGAAGGTTTGCCTGGGTTTGTGTACAAGAAAGCTTTAAAGGAAGAATGTAGGTACAAAAAAACAGAGCTGGGTGTTACAGAAGGAAACAAATATTGGAGGGAGATGAAAGTTATTATTTTCCTGGGGATTTTCACAGCATTTAGAGTTTCCTTGGGTGTTTCTACCCTTTTCCAGGTTAGGATTTGGGTGAGTGAAGATCACTGAAGTCAGTGCTGTAGGCTCATCTGGCCAAATGCCAGTCTGAATATTTTTAATTCAGTGTTTTTAAACAAAAACAAACAATTAATCAAAATTACTGGATTCTTGAGGCAGCACTTGCTTGTGTTAGAAATGCCAATATGCTGCCTCTTTTCTTCCCACAGATCACGACTGAGTCCTGCAGGCAGCAGCTTTTCCAAGCATGGCTGCTTTGGAAGGGTGCCTGCCTGGGGGTCCCAGGTACTGCAGTGTGAGGCCAGCTTTGAACAAGTTTTCACGTTCCACTGTCATATCCACAGTTAACCCCTGCTGCAGGAGCTCTTTTCTTGTGTATCCTGCCTGGATTGCTGAGCCCCTTGCCCCCCAGAGGTAAAATCAAGTTCCTGTTTAAGTCTGTGGTTTGTTTTTTTCCATGATAACTAATAGGATAAACCAGGCTGGTGTGTCAGATTAATAATTAACAGCTTGAACATCATTTGAGCTTTCCCACGCCTGCACTGGCTGTTTTTGAGATGTATTAACTAAAGTTATTTGCTGCCTTGGCGATTATGAAGAGCAAAGCCTGAGTAAGCCTCCTATCAAAGAAACATTCCTTTAATATTATTGGGATAAATAAAAGCATCTTGCATTAACAGTCATCTTCCATAAAATGTTTCTAATGCTTTGTGACAGGGGATTATTTTCCCAGTTTTGAGCTAAAATGTGTCATCAAGCAGCAGGTTTGTTGTTTACTTCTCTCCTTTGCTGTTCCCTGAATGCTCCAGTGTGAGCCACCAGCTCAGGACTCTGGAGCGCACCTATGCTGTGCTCTGTGCTGCAGATCAGGATCTTTTCTCCTGATCCCAAGGGTTGCATTGTCTTGCTAGCTAAACAGCAAAGGGGCTGGGGCAAGTAATGCTGGCCCAGGATGCCATCATGCTCCCGGCTCACTTCCTGTAATCCCCGAAGCAAAGAAAACTGAGTAAAAGCAGGCACTGATGTATTTTTCCCAAAATCAAGGAATTATCCCAGCACAAGCAAGTTTTCTGTTTCTTCCTACACTATTTGGCCTGTGGGAGTGCTACAGAACGAGGTGAAGTGTTCCAGTTCTTAAATCTTACAAGGTTGTTTTTTTTTCATGACCTACAGAATCTATTTCTTCCAGGGCTGACCCATTTTCTTTTCTTGGAGGTGCCCGTGGATCAGCCACTGCGTCCCCTCCCCTGGCCCAGCATGGAAGAGACTGGGACAATCAGGAGGCACAGACAGCAACGTGCCTGTGCTGGCTAGAGGGGAGCAAGATGGGTTTTATTACCATGGCACAGTAAAAGAGGAGATAGAGGTGAGTGATGGTTACTGTGTGGTTGTTGGGGGGGATGTGTAATAGGGAGCAGTCCTCACACACCACCTGAGTTCAGTGTAGCACTTTCTGGTTCAGCTGATGAGATGAGAGAACAGACCACCAGGACAGCAGGTGCTTGAGCAGCCTTGTGCTGGTGCTGGGCACTGAGCCAGGCTCAGCCAGCCCGAGTGCTGCTGCCAGCAGTGTAGGGGCTGCTGTTGTGTGTAGACACAGAACCATGAACAGCACAGGAAAAGGGTTTGTGTTTTATGTACACACGTCCAGCTTGAGTCAGCCACAGACCAATGGCTCAGGGTCTTTCCAGAAAGGTTAGTGAGAGCTTTAATTCATTGGTTTGTTGGCACTTAAAACTGAACACAAAAAAGAGCCTGTTCTTTCTCAAGAACAGGGAAGTACCATGTCTCATTGTTGATGGAAAGTCTCTTGACAGGCCTTAATATAAAAGAAAATAAAAACTCCCAACAATCCCCTCCCAAGAAGCAGAGCTAGTGTTGTATGTAATGAGGAAGGAATTGGGCATGACTGAAGAGCAGGTCTGAATGGTGTCAGTGTCCCTTGTTCCTTGGCACACACAGCATAGTTTGTGAAATACACTTGTCTGTAGCTTTTTCTCTTGGGAAAGGAAATCCAGATCCTAGTAGCAGTGAATCTGAACATATGCTTCACTCATCTTGCTTTCAAGGTGAGGCTCATGGAGGTTTTTTGGGCTGTCTCAATGCTGAAGTAACGCCACACACTAGCTGCTGTTCAGGCTTGTTTTGCCCTACTCATATAGGCACAGGATGGCCTTCTAACAAAAGTTGCATTACCTGGCACATTATGGACTGTTCTTCAGTGGAACCGCTATTTTCTTCCTGGTAACAGGGTGAACGAGGCATGTTCCTGGTAGAGTTTGCCAAACCACTTGTGTCACGTGGAAGGCATCCAGTGAGTGTGCAAAAAACAGCACAGGATGACATCCTGGAATATGTGAATGGGATGAAGCACTCCTTGCTCCCTGGAGACAGAGTGCTGGCACCCTGGGAGCCAGACAGGGCCAGGTACGGCCCAGGAACTGTCCTCAGGGGCATTGAGACAAGGGATCCCTTACGAGGTAAGAAAAGAGCTGCTCTCTTCCTCCTCTTGTTCCTCTGGCACACCAGGGAGGCTGTCAGGATAAACTCTTGTCAGGGTGCTGCTGCCAGAGAAATAACAGAGCACAGCCTACAGCTTAGTGCTGCTCCAAGCCTGCAGGAGCTGATGGATATCTGTGTGTAACCTCACCAGAGGGACCGTAAGGAAGTTGTGACCCATAAAAATGAAGTCATCTGTGTCCGTGGGTGTAGCTGGGGCAAGGCTGTGTTTGCCATGTGCAGGACTGTGGCCTTTTCATGACAGATACAAGTGAGACAGCTTCCAGGAAGCATTCATCAGAGCTTAAATGCTCACATTTGTACCAAATGGTACATCTGGGGGTGATTTTATCACCCAGACGTAGGAGATTTCAACAGCTCATTCATTTTTCCTGTGTCTGACAGTCAAGCTCCACTGACTTAAAAAATACTATTCTCAGAGCACCACTGCTAACTTTGGCAGCAACAACAAAAATTACTGTCATCGTTTTCTTGTTCATCTGATGACAGACTGGGAGGAAAGATGCTTCCAGGCCTGTTGTTTTAGTGATGGTGCCCAGGCTGCCCACTCACCTCTGTGACCCTGTGGTGAGGTGTTAGAGAGGGGCAAGAGTTGATCCTGCCTCTTGAAAGTGCATAAAGCTGCAGAGCCTGATCTGCCAGTGTGCACTGCCCAGGCAGGCCAGCTGCTTAAGGCTGCTTACTTTTTCTCTTAACAGCCTCAGAAGATGAAGAAATTGTTGTCCAGTTCTGGAATGACAAGCAAGTGAAACTCCCCTGTGGTGTGGCTCTGTGGATCCCTCCTAGCCTGTGGGAGAGGATTGTGGAGATGATCCACATGCCCTTCACCAGCAGGGTGAAGCCCAGACCAAGCCAGGATACTAACTCTTGTATTTTTCCCTGCAGTCCTAAGCCAGCCCTGATTCCTGCTTGTGCTGTATGTAGCCTTGCCAAGCACTGCTTGCTCTGCTCTCCCTGCTGGCCACATTTCCACCAGCGCTGTGCTGGTGGGATCTGCTGTTCATCAGCCTGGGTAAGGAGCATCTGCTGCTGCCATCCCTGTGCTGGTGCCTGGTGGCCTCTTCCCTCCAGATCTCTCATCTTTCAGGACAAAGCTGAAGAGGCAGAGTCCAGCAGTGAGCTCTCTCCAGGCCTTCTAGAACTGAAAGGCACAAAACAAGGAGAAGCTGCAGCTGTGGCAACATCTTCTCCCTCTTCTGATTCAGAGTGGGATCTGAAGCCATCCCTCACTAAGAGTACTGTGGGGGACAGTGCTGTTAACCCAGGCTCCAGCTGTCTTGAAAAGCCCAGGCTAAAGGATTCTGCAAGACCTGAGGGGAAGTACTGGAAAAGAAGCCACCAAAAGTCCCATTCCAGTAATTCAGGTACCTTCAAACAACCCCACAGGGAAGCAGTTGTCAGAGGGAACAAAAAAGTCTTCTGGGCAGGGCAGTCACTTTGCCTGCAGGTTATTTGAATTAATACTGTGAATTTGCATATCAGACTGATCCAATTCTTCTTCTCCCCAATGTTTCTGCTGCCTCATCTGCCTCCTCCTTTGGCAATTCCTGCCATGGAAAACTACCAGAACAATTAATTTCATTTGGAAGCACAGGTATCCCTCTCTGTTTCCTGTCATTTTCCTACGCCTTTTATGATGCTAACATCTTCATTAACCTGCACAGTTCCCATTCAGAATAATCCAAAAATATTCCTTTTAGGCTTAAAGTGCATTTTTCTCTCTTCTGAAATGAATGTGTCTCCATCTCAGTTCTGGTTTCACTCTTAGATATGATTTTGCTCCTTCCCAGGACCTGGAAGTTGTAGCAGCACATGTACAAAGGGCCAGCTGGAATCCAAAGCCGTGTCCCCTGGGGGCACATCTAGCGTGGCCCCAGCTCAGCAGAGTGCAATGTTTGAAAGCATTGAGCAGACCCCCAGAGGGCAACTCACACTGAAAGAGATCCTAAGAGACCAAGATTTCAAGCCATCATTGAGGGTAAAGTAATCTGTATTAATACTGCAGTTATGTAAGCAGGAGGCTTGTATGAGTGAAAAAAAATATTCTTGTAAACTGTTTGGAACCTGGCAAGAAAACAACATTGTAAATTAACTGCTTCCTAAGGCCATCCACCTGTTTTGTGACAGGTAGGAAAGTTCTCCACTAATGAAACCAAAAATCCCTAAGCCTTAAGGAAGGGCTGAAGCTACTTGGTAAATTGGAAGCAATTGTCAGTAGCCATGTGAGCATTCAATAATTCAGATTTCAGTTCAGAAACCTGCCAAATGCCCATTGACATGTACCCAATGAAGCCCTATGTTAAATCCATGGAAAAGTGCTGTGCTCTGCCAGTCAAACTGTGATAGTCACAATCTCTGCCTCTGAGAGATAAAAGCAGATTCTTTAGTAAAGAGTCTTTGCTGAGTTTCTTCTCTTCTTCACTAGAGGCAGCCAGTTTATACAGCAGATTCCTACTGTGAAGCTGGGGCATACAGAGTAAGTAAACTGTGTCACAGCTAGGAAAACCACCACTACCCTGGTTTGTAGGCCTGGTTTCTCTCATACTTGAAAAAAAAAAAAATTCAGAACATGAATGCTAAAAGAAGCAAACACAGAAATGAGGAGGAAAACAACTTACAGGAAGAAAGGGAAGATGAAAGAGAATGTCAGGATCAACAGAAACAGTGCTCTGCACAAGAGCATCAGGGTACAATTAGTAAATTATATACGTGAAATCAAATATTAGCTTCTCTGTACCTTCATGCTCTTGCTACTGTGAGCTGACTTCAAAGTAAAACTTGAAATGTTCTAAACTTGCATGTTTAGAGATGAATCCATTAATAACATGTCTCAGTGAATGGAGAATATAGGAATACATCTTGTATTCTCACAATTGTACTCATTCATTTTAAGCAGATGCCAGCTTTTTCAGTATGGTTCCTACTTTCTATTCTACTTTATTGCTAAAATAATCATAGTTACATAACTACACACCTTTGTAATTGATTTCCTAGGATTTTTCAGGCCAGTATGGAGCTCCAGGCAGGCATACTCTGTGTTAGCAGTGTCAGAGCTGTGCACTGAAGTGACATGAGTTGCCTTTCGGTAAAACTAATAAGAAAACAGAATTGTTTCATTGCAGCCCCAAAGCAGCAGCATGAATCACAGAAGTGGATGCAGCGTGGTAATACAGGGCATAATGACAGAATTTCGTTCCTGTAAAATAGCCCTTGGTGATTTTAAACCCAGAAGATCCATTGCTACTCTGAGATAGCTGAAGCAGTTTTATCACATGATACAGGCTGCATCAGAATTGGCTTGCAGCAAACAAGTGGAGTTAGAGGACAGGCTTCCCAGAGGTACTCTCTGGGGGGCTGATGTCCCCTCACTGCAGTCAACAAAATCCTCCTGACTTCTGAAGTAGGAAAGTTTTTAATCAAGCCCTAACAGCTTCTGAAAATACTTTTGTTTTGTGAAATTGTGTGTTTCAACAGTAAAGTTTTAAAGTCTGCTTTCTGTACTAGCACAGAAAATAGACTAAAAAGGCTATGTGAGGCAGAGGTACAGCCAGCAAAGCAGCAGTTAACAAAGACACTGATGCTTTTTTTAGACCAGACTTCTGAGGGATTTGTTTTCTGTCCTCCAGGAAGAAGGCTTTGCAGCATCAGAAAAACAAAGTTATAAAGCAGCATCAGATGATAAATGTAAAGTGACTTCTGCTGGAGATGACAAACCTGATGTTACAGACCCTGTCAGACCTCACTTGCAACAAAACTGAGAGTCAGTTTTGTCTGGTCAGCCAGAATTCAGTACATGTACAACTGATCAAGTTCAGGGGCTGAAATTTCAGGTAAACTGCTTCTACTGTATCAGTGTTATATCTTTTAAATTAACCAAGTTCTGATTTAGGTACTGTTTCAGTAGAATATCTTAATGGATGACTATATAATTTTAATAAGTGAGAAGCTCTTCTTTCACTGACATCAAACGTACACATCCTCATTCTTTATTCCAAAGTGCTACTATAAATTCCTAATTATTTGGAATTGGCTTTACAATTCTGGAGAGATCAGATGAACTAGTATAAGCACTAAAACCTGAACAGATGCACAGTAAGAGGCCAATAAAGCAAGAGGCCCCCCACTTGTCTACAGCTCTCTGGAGTGAGGCACAAAAATTCAGCAAAGCAGTTTCTGTTTGTAGAAAGCCAGGAGGAACAGAGAAACAATACAAGCTGGCAGCTGAAAGAATTTTTTTCAGGATTAAAGCACAAGCAGAAGTAGCCAGAGGCTAAAGGACCTGCTACTGTAGATACAAACAACAAAATGATTAGCATTCAAGCCACTGATTTTTATTTCTGATGAAAATGAACTGAAACCTTAGTACTATCAGCTACAAAAAGATGACATCACTAATTCTAAACATGGAATCTGGTCCTTTGGGAAAGTTAAGCATCCAGGGAGTTCTGTTAGTGTTAGCTCATGTTTAAAGCATATGAACTCGGCCCCAAGCTGCAGTGTGCAGTTGCTCAGCACTAAGTTGGATAATTTAGGGTACCCCAGAGCCATCAGAAAAGGGGTTTAGCATGGTCTGCAAAGAGACAGAACTTGAATCAATAACTCACATGCCTAGACTGAACAGCTGACACGTTTCAGCACATTTCTGAGTTGGGGTTCTAGGGTAGTGAATTTCATTTGTATTTCACTTTACCAGACTAGCAAAAGTACAGATAGGAGAGTGGCTGGTGAGCCAGCTTCTCTAAAATCAGTGCTAGCCTACAGAAGCTAATGTCCACCCATATTCATACCACATGGGTCATTCTTTCTCTGGTCAGCACTGTGACATGGGGGTTCTTTCTGAGGATAATACAAAAGAAGCTGTCATCACAAAGGCTTGATCATGTATTTTATTCCACTGATTGTATCTTTAATTGTTTAGAGCAGAAGAATCTGGAATTACAGTCACATAATTAGATTTAAAAGGCACACAATGTACAAATATTTATAAAAATCAATGTACAAAGTGAGCTGCATATAATTGCATTAAGTAGAAAACAAATATACAGGCCATAAAAATGGAGTACCAAAGAGGAAGCTACTATTAAAGTGCTAACAAGAAAAAGATATTTACAGTTCATTAAATGCATTAAAATGAGCCTCGTGTTTTATTCCTGCTATTGCCAGGAGACAACAAATATCACAGAACAAAAGTTAAATCAATACTTTGTCCTGCATTGACATCTACTACGTGGGTTTGTTCCACCATGTCTTCTGAGATTGCTGTGACAGAATAGACACCAGGAGAAACTTCAATGTAGAAGTCTTTGGAAGGTCTTCTGGGCTTTAAGATAAAAAAAAAAATATTGTGTTTGGGTAAAAAAATTATATTTCAGCTGCTGTATAAATGTACAAAGATTTTTCTAAATATATAGAAGGCAGTGCAAACAAAACTTCAAAATGTTTTTGTCAGTACAAAAATTAGCAAATGCCATACTCAAAGTATTTCAGCTAATGTTTTGATCAGTGGAAGTAATCACTGTGCTGTAATTTATGTCTTATAAAACTGAAATTTACCAACCTAGACAGTTCTGAACATAAACCTGGGAATTCCCATTCCCTATATCAAGGGTGCTCTCACTAATTTATACTGTGGTACAGATTCAGTGTTTCTCATCTTTTGTGGCTTAGAAGTTCCTGAAATTGAATTGCTGAGGTGTTAGGCTTTGAAAAATAAACAGTTTTGTTCTCCTTGAGGAACAGGAGTCTCCAGAGCCTGTGGGAGGGCCAAGTGCAAGAATGCCACAATCTGGTTCCTAACTAGAGACTGTGCAGGTCTCTGTATGCCCATTTGATTGACATGATTGTGAATGCACCGTTGGTTAAACTTCTGTGCCAAGGTCTCCAGATCTGTCACAATTTTTAACCAGCTTGATTCAAAATGATAAAAGAAATGCTAGTAAATGCTTCCACTTAAACCCAAAGTATTCTGCACACTTACTCTTTGACAGCAAGTTTGAGCTTGGCGGGGTTCTACAGAACCTTCAGTCCTCTGGAAAGAAAAATATAATTATTTTCTAATGATCCAGCACACAAGGCAAATCCAGGCCAAGAGAGGGGATGCTTTAGGTGCATGAAATTTTCCCCTCCAGAAAAGGATGGATAGGACACTGATTGGTGCCACAAGAAGTGACTCTGCCTTCCCCCAACCCAGCACAGGCTTGGATCAGTCCAGGTGTTTTTATGTCCATAAGGTCAACCTACATACATGAGTGTGAGTGTCACAGACATCAGGGGGATATAACCCATGCCCCACAGCAAGGGAAAGGAATAACCTTCCATCAAAACCAGAAGTTTCCTACTTACCTCTTCTTCTGTGGAGTCTGTCTTTCTTTCTGCTGACTTGCCATGGTATTTGCAGAAGTGTTTGATTTCATTCTCTTTGTACTTGTTGGCTGCCACAGCACCATAGTACTTCTGGACAGAAAGAAACAGAAAATATCATGTGGGAGGTATCAAACCACACTTGCAGCTGCTGCAGATTGACAATTGAAATTAGAACTACACAGATACTGATGCTGTGTATGAGTTGGCTGTTTGTTCTCTGTGAGGGTGAAAACAGTGCCAGTATCTCCAGAGGCCACCTGCCTTCTGGTACAGGACTCTATCAGACAGGCTGATTTGAGCTGCCTGTTTCCTGACACAATATGTAGGGCAGGGACTCCGACACCTTAGAACTGAATTAGTGAAAATGTCAGAAGGAATACTCTGGAAATGCCTCCCTGACCAGGCAGGTCAAGAGAAGCCCTGGTGGAAGAAGGCATTGTGTATGAGTCCTTAGGAGGATATGTATGCAAGGCAGGTGCAGTGAAGATGGGTTCTGCAGGGCATGTACAGCAGCAGTGCTCTAAAAGCAGAATATGTTAATACTGAAAATGAGTCAGTAAAGAAGCTGAAGTGTCTTCAAGGCTGGTTTTCACAGCAGATTTGGGAAGTGTATTTAAGCACACAGCAGCCTTCTTCTGGTCCTACTGCAGACATACTGGCATCTTCCTCACTGCAAATTCAACACTTGAGTACAGTTCTGCTGCCATCTGTTGTCACCACAGAACTCCTCACAAGGTTACCTTTTTAATCACAGGGACCAAAAACATCCAAAATATCTCTTATTTTACTGATGTTTTTCTTGTCCCTGACTGTCAAGACTAAATATAACAAAAATAAGGCAAATAATTCTTGTTTCCAAATCTGCTGCTGTGCTTTATTTCTTGAGCTTATGCACAAATCAACGGATCTGGTTGCTCATATTGCAGTTTTTGTGAAGCTACAAAATATATCAAATGCTCTGACCTTGTGCATAATGCTTCACAGAGCATCTCTTTTACATGATGGCACAGAGCAAAGATATGAAATCCAACTTTTGGTGAGTATCTGACAGTTCCCCCTTTTTATGACTCTTCTCTACAGAAATGACTGAAGCAGTACTGTCCTGGCTGATACATAAATGTGGAAGTCATCCACTGCTTGTTACAACTTTAATACTCTTAAAAAGGCACAAGATAGACCCAAAGAATAATTTAGGTTGGAAAATACCCTTAGATCAGAGTCCAACTGCAAACTTAGCACTGCCAAGTCACTGATAAGGATGAGTCTCCTTTGTTTCATCTTGTGTAAAACTCTATTCTGCCCCAGTTGTTTTAGGATTAACTGGTTACTTTGAAATTACAAAGGAGTTGCTTAGGAGCTAATGGCTTGGTGTGCTGAAGTACTGTTTTCTCTAATTTAATTGCAGACTTAGGCTCTGTATTAGCCCTGCAGGCAGTGAGCTCCCTGCTGTGTTAGGATAACAGATCCCAAGGGGCACAAACTGCTATGGAATCCTCAGACATCAGTGCAGTAGCTGGGCTGCAGGGCTGTGCTCACAAGGATGGGCTGGCAGAGGCTGGCTCCCAGTCTGAGCAGCAGAGCAGTGACACCTGCCAGAGCCAGCACGAGAACAGTGACCTGTGCATCCGGGCACCGAACCTCTCAATTTCTGCTCATCCCAAACAAAGAACTGAACCCACACTCCTTACCCAGTAGCAACTTCCCAAATCCAGTTTGACCTGGTTTTGTCTGGGCTAGAGGAAGTTTTCCTCCTAGTTACTGGCATGGTGCTGTGTTTTGGATTTAGTACGAGTATAGTGTTGATAACAAACTGATGTTTTGGTTTTTGTGGAGTAGTGCTCGCTCTAAGTCAAGGACTTTTCTCATGCTCTGCCAGTGGGGAGGTGCACAAAAAGCTGTAAGTGAGCAGGGCTGTGACAACTGACCCAAACTAGCCAGAAGGAAATTCCATACCATAGAATGTCATGGATATAAACAGGGAGAGTTGTCTGAGGGGCTGAGTGCTGTTTGGGGACTGGCTGGGCACGGGTCAGTGGGTGGTGAGCAACTGTAGCGTGCATTACTTGTTCTTCTTGGGTTTTATTTCTCTCTCCCTTTTCCACCACAATTATTACTGTTATTATCATTGGTATTGTCTTATTTTACTTTGTTTCAGTTAATAAACTGCTCTTGTATCAACCCACGAGTTTTATTTTCTCCAGGCTCTCCTCCCCATCCTGCCAGGGGAGGTGGGCACGGAGGCAGTGAGCTGTATGGTACTTAGTTGCTGGTGGGGTTAAATCACAACAGCAACACTGCTGGGGGGAGAAGGGTTTAAATTCAAAACAAACTCAGGACACAAAGCATCTCTTCAGTCAAGATTCAAACTCTCCCTTACTTCCACCACCTGGAGCAGGACAGCAGCCAGCATGAGTGGCTCAGGTTCCCCTGAGGACAACAAAAGGTTACCATGTGTTCAGGCCGCTTCCCAGCAGAGATACTTTGGAGCACTGGAAACATTCCATACCTTGTGACACAATGTATTTTGTGATGTCACCTGACATTTCCGTCCCTCTAACCATACTGCCCTTCCACCGACAAATGGAGAAACCTTCTGCTGAAGTCTGTACCGAGCACATCACGAACATTCCCCTTTGGACGGGCCCGGGGGTGACCCCTCACCTGGCATTCCTTTGAGACTCCTCTCATCAGCTTCACAGTCGAAGCGAACGCTGCATTCAGGCGCTCCCGCTCTTCGTCCTGCAACGAGAGACGTTCCTGGTCACGGAGCGTGCCGCCCGTCGCTCAGAGCCCGCGGCTGGCGGCACCGCCGAGCCCGGCGGTGTGTCCGGGCAGGCCGCGGGCCGTTTGTATCTCTGTGCATCCATGGATGTGCATCTCCCTGTGTCTGTGGGTCTGTATCTCTGTCTGTGCGTGTGCCC